AGGTTGTCTCATACGAGTGGGCTCATTTCCTGCTATTGTCCCACACACTCAGATTGGAGTGGTCACTTTCGGTTTCGGTTTCCGTTGCCTGACCACGATGGATCGCCGAATGAACATTCTGTATTGACTGCTTGGTATGTGTTTAATTGTTTATCGAATAGAGGGGACTGATTCTACTATGTAACATGTAATTGAATACAGGCTTAATTAGATGTCGTAAGCGCCACAATATTGTGTCTGTGGTTAACAGACAACAACTGATGATTTTGCCTCTAGAGATCTCAGATTATTGTTGGTGTTTGTTTACTTTGGAACGTGGGTCATCAACTTTGGCTGCGATATAACCTAACAATCTGAACTTATCCCAATTGTCCTGAACAGCACTTTAAGATTACAGTAAGCTGAATATGCTTGATGTGCATATGTGTTTGTATATCTATAAATCTCTGTTTTGCTTACTGATTTGCTTGTCTGTCTGTCTGTTTGCCCAGCGAAAGAGAGCGAGAGAGATATATTCTGTTGTTGTACCTTTATTCTGTTGATTTTCTGTTAAAAGTTAAAGGCTTCATGCAACAGGATCAATGTTCGTTATCTTGAACAGGATTTCTCCTGTCTGTTTACTTTGTGGTCATTTTTAAAATGCTTAAAATAATGACAATTATTAATATGATTCGTTGTTTTGTGAATGTACGCAATTAGGAATATTCCAGCTCCATCTCGTATCAGATCAAGTCTGGACAAGGGAGATCATGTGGGAACATTGACATACAATCCACGATACGGGTATATCGATGATCTGATATCATTCAACAAAATTTAAATAGGTTACAATTTTCCACCGATTTATCTCTAAACCTAGAAAGAACAGATCCGTGAAGATCAGGGTTAGAATTGATTCTTCAGTAACCCATGCTTGTCAGAAGAGGCGACTAACGGGATCGAGGGGTCAGACTCGCTGACGTGGTTGATACATGTCATCGTATCTCAGTTACGTAGATCGATGCTCATGTTGTTGATCACTGGATTGTCTGGTCCAGTCTCGATTATTTACAAACCGCCGCTATATAGCTGGAATATTGCTGAATGCGGCGTAAAACTAAATTCACTCACTATCTAGAATGAGTTCAGCTCTGTGAAATTCCCATATTACTTTCCTATTTAGATACGTTTAAGTGTGCGTAAGGTTGTATGACAAAGGAACAAGATGATATTCCAATAGACATAATGTCGACCAACATTCCAGCTGCTCCAGCTTTTGGTGTCTAAATCGTACAACTATTGAGGTTCTTTCAACGAGGGTTACAAAGTGTCTCAAGCGAAATTTCCTCAAAAGTTATTTTCTCATCAAGATTGCAATACTGAAGGGCCCAAACAACGCTCACAGAACGTTTTGTAGTGGACACGCAGCGGGCATTTCCAAGTCTCACAGGTTTGACGTGGTCAGAGGCGCACTATGAATTCTACTTTAGCCGAGGTGTCTTTTGATTAATTTATGGAAATGTTCAAAAATCGCTTTTATTAACACGGAATGTCTGAAGGAGGCACTGATAATGTTGATCCGTAGTCACTATAGACCTACATGTTGCAATGTGTTTGTATCGTTGGAAAAACATTACTTCCAAACACTTTTGTTACAAATAAAACGTCACTGCCAGAGAACGGTCATTTGGGCGTATGAAGCAACATAATGGAACCGTTGCAAAACATTATTTGTCAAAGAGCGGTCAGACTCAAATGTGGGACGAGAAATATTTCATTGGTCGTATTAAGCAACATAATTGGACCGTTGCAAAACATTACTTGTTACAGAACGGTCAGACTCAAATGTGACCCGAGAAATATTTCATTGGGCGATGAAGCAACAAAATGATAAACCCTATATGATTGAACACGGAAAATTTCTCAAAGATCCCACAATAAATTTACCAAGGTAAATGATCGATTGTTGCTCAAACAAGTCAGCCAAGACATGTTTGTATCGGACTAAACAAATGTGTGACATTCATGTCCAAGATAAACACCGCTGTCTGTGTCTGTCCACTGCTGGTCTTGAGTCGCCGATCAGGATCCTGACAATGAAGTGATGATGGTCGATACGTGACAAGTGGGTGAATAGTGTCTGAATCGCCCGTTTGAGATAAATGTTTGCTATTGTTCATGTAATAACATTTGAGACATATGGAAACACAATTTGTTCAAAAATTCGTGAAAAATGTCGTGAAAAATTTAAGATAATACAGATACAAACCAGGTAAGGAATATGTATGACTGGTTACCATAGTAAACAAACAATTAATATAATTATGTTGATATAGCTACAAGTCACAAGTTAACAATTCTGTCTGTTCGGATAATTTTGAGATAATCCGGCTACAAAGCTTACACGTCATTAATAAATGTTACTGGTTACCATAGTAACAAAACAATTAAAATATGTTGACATTGCTGCAAGTCAAGAGTTTAAAATTTAGTTTGTTCGGATAATTTTGAGATAATCCAGATGCAAAGCGTACACGGTCAGGAATATAGGTTACTGGTTATCATAGTAACCAAACAATTAATTTAAACAAGAGTTTAAAATTCAGTTGCTTCGGATAATTTTGAGATAATCCGGATACAAAATATACTTGTCAGAAATATATTTGACCGGTTGCAGCAGTATATGTTGACATAGCTAAAAGTCATAGCGCAATCAGCAAATATTATTATAGAAGCGTAAAGGATAATTTGAGCATTTTAAAAGAGTTTGTAATACATTCAGTCCTAGTCTGCAATCGGTCACGTGTAAGGTGAATCTAATACATTTGTATACTAAAGTTCAGACAACTTTAGGTCGGGAAATACATAAATAGCTTGCACAAACCAAATCGATTACAAAATCTTTCAGGATTCAGATAAAAGAATCTGTTACTATGTAATATCGACCATGAGTACTTGATACTTTTATGGATAACAACTTCTTTTATTCTTTTAACGAGGTTTCAGGGGTACTTAGTGGCCCTTCATCGGATAAAAAGGTTTATCAGGTACATGATGCACCTGATGGTAGGGCAAGAAGTAGCCTCGTTAACCTCGTTAAAAAAGGTTGTTATCTATACAAGTGTCAATGTAACTATGTTATTCCTACCTCTGAATGCCTCCGGTTGATTGTGTGTCACTGTCTGCAGTATAGACTCGTGTCTAGACGCAATTACGTACAGACTATCGTGATATAACTGAAGTAATGCGGATCACGGGGACAACAACAACAACAACAACCACCTAATTTTTAAAGATACATGAGTGAGTGAGTTTAGTTTTATGCCACCTTTAGCAATATTCCAGCAATATCACGGCGAGGGACCCAAGAAATGGGCTTCACACATTGTATCCATGTGGGGAATCGAACACGGGTCTTCGGTGACGAGCGACCGCTTTAGCCACTTGGCTACCCCACCGCCCCTAGAGATAAATGAGTTGGACATAAGTTAAATGTCTTGGCCAGTTAAACGAACTACTTAAATTCAAAACAACCATTCTTCTCCATTGTCAGCCATGTGTAGTGGTCATTTGGATGTGAATAGTTGATATTGGAATATACCGGGACGTGTTTTTTGCCAATATTGTTATTTCCTTGTACTTAAATTCATGATATTCAGTATATATTCAGTTTATATTCAGTAGATGAAGAATTAATTGATTGAAAGGTTTTGAATCAGAAGTGAGTGAGTGAGTTGGGTTTTACGCCACTTAAGCAATATTCCAGCAATATCACGACGGGAGAACACCAGAAAATGGGCTTCACACATTGTACCTATGTGGGAAATCGAACCCGGGTCTTCGGGGTGATGAGCTTAATCTTTATTCGCCGGCCTAACCTACCTCCCATTGAACTGGAAATAAACTGAAATATTTTAATATAGCGTCTTCCAAACTGAACTGCAGATGTACAACCTCCCCCCTTCCCTCCCTCTGTCTCTCTCTTTCTCATACTTCGATAATGTCTTATATGCATACGTCTGTAATAAACTTCTCAACTTAATAATATAATTAACACATTAAAACTGAACTGGAATATTGCAGCACAAACACCGCCCATTCAATAATCACCGACATGTGATCGGATTCACTTGCAAGTAAAGTTATAGGTGATGACAACCAATTAGCAACTACCTGACCTGATGTTCACGGTGACTATATCGGAGGAATACAGTTGGTAGTATTCAGGGACAACTGTGGGTTGTTTGTTTGTTTTTTAATGCTGCAATATTCCAGCTATTTGACGGCTGTAAATAATCGAGCCTGGACCAGACAATACAGTGATCAACAGCATGAGCATCGATCTATGCAACTGGGATACGATGACATGCGTCAACCAAGTCAGAGAGCCTGATCACCCGATCCCGCTAGTCGCCTTTTACGACAAGCATGGGTTACTTAAGACCAATTCTAACCCGGATCCTCACGTGTCTGACAGATGTGGGAAGGCAAGGATCTGTTTTAAGACCCTTCAGTTCCATCGTATTAAAACCTTTTATCAAGACAAATGCGAACAAAATATTTTTTGAAATTTATTTTCCAAAAATATGCATACATAAATTTCAATATCACAGACAATGGGATCACGTTTTGTGTACTTGTAAACACACGGACAAACGGTGTTGGATAGGTCAGTGTCTAAAGAACACACACGGAGTGTTTACGTAGTCAGGGACAAGGAACGAGGCAATATATAATGCATTGGAAGGGTTACATGTGGTACTCGGTACATGTTTGAAGGGAAAGTTGTTGCCAATAAGTCTAAACACTAAGAAAACACTAGTAAAAGTTATTTTTAAAAATCCTTCAAATTTACAATTTGCGAATTATGGGGATGTGGAGGAGTGATCTAAATGTTAAGTGAAAGTGAGCTTACTGCAAAAATACATTCTGAGAAATATTTCTCATACATATTATTGTGCCTAAATGTGACTTTAGTCAATTATTGAACACTACAAAAATATTAACAGAGTCACGCCAAAACCAAAATGCTCTATGTATAAAGTTTAGTCTTGATAAAAAAACATGCTTTTGTATGGATAGCGACACTTGCTAGAGTGGGGTGGTTTGGGTATGTGCGTCGACGGTGTACGGACGGAGACTAGATATTTTCGCAGCTGAAAACACTCCAGAAATTTGCGTTAATTAAAATGACGAACCTAAATATTGTTCTATAAAGAATATTCCTCTGCAATAAAGTATATTGTGAGGCAGATAATGTCATTAACAGAAATATGTTTCAAGTATCACTCCATACATCCCCCCAAAATCAAATTTCACATGAAGTTTTCTCAGGTATCCATAACAAGATGCTTGAATCTGACATTGTGTCACAGGTCCGAGTTTAATGGCTATCCACTTGTGTGTGATGGTGTTCTTGGTGGGAAAAACTAGAAGGTGTTCCTATCACATCACTCTTTGAATACACAATGCCAAGTGCCAAGTTTTCAAATGAAATGTATGTGTATTATATATGCTCTCAGTAAACTTCAGATTCAAGTACTTTGCGGGACTCAACACTAAAAAATCCTAGAATGTGTACTTTACTGAGAAAGTGTAATCACAAATATATCAATGTTGCATATCACTCCTGTTTTTAGTACAAACCTGAAAAAGGCCTACTGTCCTCATCACTTTTGAGAAAATAAGTTTCCGAGAAGCTTGTCATGAAGTCCTTTCCCGTAAGGCTAAGGCATATTGCTATCATATGTTGTTAAATACGTAACCATGGACATTGTCTGTTAAGAACCAAGCTGCTCATCTTTATGCAGGTTGTGATTGTACACTTATAGGTTAGTAGATATAGTATATCAGCAATATATCTGATAAACAACAATTATAAATGATCTGTAGAGGGTGCATACTTTTGAAAACGACGTGTAAACAATACTACGTACAAACATGTACTTAAGCATTTCGTTTTATAAAAATACAGGTGACCTTTGGAATACATTTTAAATATTGTATCTGTTCCGGATGGTACAAATCGTCAGTGATCACTAGAGGGGTTAGACAAAACCATGTTGATTAAGATGTTGATGATCTAGCTCTTAGGGTAAGCTTTAGGAACGCTTGCTTCAAAAACGTACACGCTGATACACGTTCTACGATGTAAATGTTGTTGTGGCACAGAGGACATATCGTGTGCAACAAAGTGAAACTTCCAAATATGTTCAAGCAGATTTGCGCCACATGTGCCCCATGTGCTGGGCATCCAGATATCAAACCATGATCCTGACCTAAAGAAGTGACGACGCTCCTTCTGAAACCTTTCACAACAAGAACCCTTGGTCATCAAAATCAGTATCAAGATCATGACTTCAAGAAGTTATCAAGATCCTTTTGGAACTCTGGACTAAACACTTCATTCATGATCTTATCGTCAATCTCAGGTGCCTCACCCGCATCCTGCCCAGCTAAAGTCTTCAAGTTATAGTCCGCAAGTTTTTCCAAAGCAGCTATACGTCCATCTTCTTTCCTAACCTTTGGTGTTCTCGCAGGAATGTCAGGCACAGGAATGACTGGCACAGGAGAGTCTTCATCATCGTCCTGATCGTCCACTGGATTATCATCTTGATTCGGATCTGGTCTTGAAGAATGTGCATTGCTTGGGCCAGCCCGCTCAATGGGTTGGTCATCAGCCTTGCTGGAAGGTGTATTTGGTTCGGGCGGATTTCTTGGAGAAACAATCGTTGCTCGAGCATCATCAGATGAAGGTGTATTATTTCGACTAGGTGTCCTGTTTTGATTACTCGGGGGTCTACTAGACTGTCTCTGGTCTGGGGTGTTATTTCTGCTGTTTTTGCTGCCATCCTCTTTGGTGATGGGGGGTACAACTGTATGTTTGTTGAGATCTGAGGCTGCACGTGACAAGGGTCGATCTCCTCTGCGTGGAGTTGCCTCCCTTACAGGAGGCAGGTCATCCTGCCGTGACTGATTCCTAGACATCCTCTTCGGCTGTAAACATATATACAGAGAAATCGCGTAAAGCAAACTGATGAAGTGAGTGAGTGGGAATGATTTAACGCCGTTTTTAGCATTATTCCAGCAATATCACGGCGGCGGACACCAGAAATGGGCTTTACACAGTGTACCCATGATTGTGGGGAATCGAACCCATGTCTTCGGCCTGATCATGACTAGTGAACGCTTTAACCACATATCAAGCTGAGACGGTTATCATGACATCGACGACGAAGGTTATATTTCATTTTACAAAATGATAATGACAAAGCTCTCCATAGTGGGTAGTTGGTTATATTTCCTATGATATTTGCTAACACAATCCCCTATCTGATACCTATGAGTTTATAGTTGCACATGTTTGCAACATGGTGTTAAATAACTATTTACTACAGGGTGCAGATTCCTAGACACCCACTTCGGCTGTTAACACATACAGTGAAATCGTGTAACGCATACTGATGAAGTGAGTGAGTGAATGAGTGAGTATGGTTTTACGCCGCTTTTAGCATTATTCCAGCAATATCACGGCGGCGGACGCCAGAAACGGGCTTCACACATTGTACCCATGTGCGGGTTCTTCAGCGTGACGAGCGGACGTTTTAACCATGCGGCTACCCCACCGCCTCCATACTATACTAATGAAATAGGGATGTAAAGAAATACCAAGTGATGTGAAATAAAGTACAATCACGTTCAAGATTACGAACGTATTAGCCAATGGCAGGCATTTGTGTCGCTGCTTGTACACAGTAGTCTGGGTACTTGGTACTATGCCGGAATTTAACATGAATAAGCCATTCAGACACGGCATACTGACAGGAGTTACTGTTTGTTTCTCCATGGCACCAGGTAGAATAAGAACAAGAGCCTTCTTTTGATATAACACTTAAAGGGTATCGAAATGCCGTACTGTAGAAACATTACCATTGGGGCTGTTGTTGTCAGGGTATGTTTGAGGTACAACCGAAAAAATATATGATGCGTTTGCCCCTCGCCCTCCATAAAAAAAAAGAGAATAAAAAAAAATAAATGATTAATGAATGAATGTATGGCATGGACGGATCGATGTATGGATGAATGCAGACATAAATTATAAATATTGACCCCAAAATACAAACAATACTAACAATCAAAACAATTTAAAACAAACAATAACAACAAACAAAATGAACAGACAAAACGATTATACCAGTTTGTGATGTAACTTACACTGTCCTGCCCTTCATCTCCCATCTCTACATACACATCTCGAGCTGTTGTGGGTTCCTCAGACTGAAACCAAGAGAATCTGTTATTCGATTCAAGACATGATAAATCTTCTTCATGGATGACAAACAAAGTCAGAACTTAGTATTTGTTACATTAACATATGTGTGGGTCTACCAAGCGCAAATAGTATAAACATATAAGACATGTTATATTAGTCTTATCAAACGTACTTATATAGGTATTATAAACATTTTCAGAAACTCGTTTCAAAATTTAAAAAACCCACAATAACAATAGGAAATGCCTTGAAAGTGCTGATGAAAGATGTTATTAGTGTGTGATTATACACAGAATTATGGTTCTGTGGAGAATACGTACACAGGACACACGGAGATATACACTGTGAGTATAATCGTACAATGTACATGCTAATAAGGACCCACTTTAGGTTATATGGATATGTAGATTAGTAGTTAATATTAACGAACGAAAAGTATGTACATCATGCTATTGATATTTCACTAAAGGGATTAACTGAAACAGGAATCATCTGCACATGTCGTTGGTCAATGACAATTTGCCAATTCACCATTCCAATAGACTTCCATTGTCGGTCACCAAAGCAACAGAGCAATCCCATGTGATTGTTGATGTGTTTGCAATCTCAGGTGACAAAGAGGACAACTTTATAGATTTATTGATCTTCATGTCGGCTTAGCCCTTGGGGGCAACATAACAACTCAGATGGTACAGGCCTAATTCGTAGGATCAAAATCTACACTGCCATTGCTCGTAATGCCTATTTGCTCTGACAAACACAATTTATGGACAGCCACACCTTGACTAATTATAAATAAGTATTGTCATGTAATGGAGATAGCTATACACCTATCTGCAGTCTAAGACCTGTTCTTAAATATCTGTGCGAAGTAAATTAATCAAGCAATGTGTATAGAGAAGAAGAATTTAGTCATCAAACCAAGCAACAGACCTCCATGATATTGACGGCACAAACAGACGCAGGAAAGACACACAGCAGATGATGTCATGTTTCTATGGCAACAAGTCTGACACGTGATCACTCGGAGATGTATAGCTGATGGATTAGATACAGCAAATTGTCATGATACGCTGAATTAGAACTCGACAAATGCTGTGAGGATAATCGATATACTTGTTGTGCTGCTTGCGTTCAACAGTCCTTGCCAAGCTGTCTGCATTAACATGGGGCAGTGACACGGAACTACAAAAAACCAATTGTGGGTTTAAAATATATGATGCATACTTAATTAGTTAAATGAATGCTCAAATTGTTCATTGTCCCGAGGGGAAAGTACACGACGCTTCAGTGTTTATAGCTGAAGAAGAAAATGGTTTGAAAAACGTAAATGAGAATGAGAAGGATCTCAAACGGATGTCTGAACGCTTTCCTACGTCTGTCACGCGCCAATGACGCCATCTTTTAGTCACCTTATCGACAAATGCCATCACGCGACGCCTCAGGAACACCTTCTGAGCTAGGTCAAGGTCGTTTGCTGACCTCCGATTTCGTTTCTTCCTTATTCGTTTCCGGAGGTCACCGGATTTGTCCATGTGACCCCGTGACTCCTCGGACTCCGTGTCAGACTTATTGAGCCAAAGGTCAGGGTCAGACTTAGACCTACTGAGGTAGACGTAATTCCCATGCTGTGAGTTTGTGGACACAATTTCAGGGATGTTAGTATAGCCAGGTTCAAGTTTAGATACATATGATCCTGTAAATTCATGCTTTTGGCCACTAATTGATGATACGCTCTGCGACCGCTGGCGTACCTTGGCTGGCTCTGCTCTTTTGCGATAATTTCTGTTCTGGGAACTTCCTGGTCTTGAAACGTAAGCGTGTTCAGTCTTAGTCGGCTTAGGAGTTGGGTTCTTAGTCTCCTCGTCATCGTCCTCGAATGGCGGCAGGTCAACGCTTTCAAAGGACGACTTGCTCCCGCCACGATCGTACGGGGTTTTGTTCTGTGAACAATATGCAATCTACCCGATACCAGATAGTTCCAAACAAGAGAAGATAACTCCTGTTCAGCCGCCCGCGAGAGCAAAATATCGCACGGTAGATTATGCATTTTTGCAATTCTGATTAGTGTTTTTTGAGTTTATAATGAATGCCTTGAAATAAACACTCGGTGGAATTTCGTTCTGTGTGTTTGACATCATATTTCATGACTGTGGACGGTTTTGGGACATACCATTACGCCATACGAAAGAACAACTGAGGATACTTCTGTACCGTTTTTGTATGTATGTATGTATGTATGTATGTATGTATGTATGTATGTATGTATGTATGTATGTATGTATGTATGTATGTATGTATGTATGTATGTATGTATGTATGTATGTATGTATGTATGTATGTATGTATGATGTATGTATGTATGTGTGTGTATGTGTGTATGTATGTATGTATGTATGTATGTGTGTGTGTATGTGTATGTGTATGTATGTATGTATGTATATGTATGCATGTATGTGTATGTATGTATGTGTATATATACACATATATACATACATACACACATATCGTCGATATATATGCACACACACATTTAATTCTATTTCCATCGAATATATATTACTTATTGCGCACGTACGTGTTTTGTATGTTTGTTGTGTGTGTGTTTGTTGTGTGTTTTCTCTCTCCCTCTGTGTGTGTGTGTGTCTGATTGGAGAAAGAATGCTGACTGTAACGTAACTTACACCTCTCAACACTTCAAAGATGTCACTATGATATTATACTGACGAGCAAATAGATGACGGCAACGTGTATAAAGTCGTCCTCACGTTTGTAACTTTCACCGTGGAAACGCAAACAACTGTGGTATGGTTAACCTATCCTAACGACTCTAGTTACACTGACAGTTAATTACAGTTTCGTTTTCCCATGGGAATATGTTTTGGAGAAGGACTCAGGGACCGGAACACACTTGTTAACCTGGCGCCATTGTTTCTAATGTTTACGCATGAACTGCTTCTTTTGCTCTGATAACGAGTTGTAATCATATTTTGTTGTCGTATCCCCATGGGAAATACGCTATATACTGTCATGGCAGTAAAAGGGATCTGAAGTATCTGTGTATTTGTTACTATCACCCAGCACCAGTGTGTATAGCAATCCACAGAAAGCAATAAACAGATACATTTGCAATCTATATCATTGATGATTACATCATGTTCAACTCTGGGTTGCATGTTGACGATCAAAGACACAACATAATACTGACACTTAAAAGCCAAAGGGAGATAAGTGTGCAGTCAGAACAAAACGTTCAATTTAATCAATTAAACTCTGCAGATAAAAAGAGTAACTGTAAAGCTTTGCAGATATTGATAAAGACTCAAACATGTATTTGCCCAAAATTGACTTTAGAAAGGTTGGATGTCCACATAGATATTTTATTAAATTGAAGAAGAATCAAATACTGAAAAATTGACCGAAAACGTTTCTTCATAATAATTAATTTTCATTCAGTAAAAGACATAAGATTAACATGCTTTTAATTTATTTAATATTATTCACGTAAATTTTACGATAACAACTTTTACCATTTTGCATAATCAGAGGAAGATATAGCACAGGAGCCCAGTATACCAGTGAGATAGAGCTGTACACAGGGTGCTATAGCATACAGAGAGGTATGCATAGGTATGTGGTATATGTCATACCTTATCATTATAACGAGAAGCAGGTGGTTCACTGCTTGGCTGTAATTCAATATACAATAGAAATCAATACGTTGTCCCCAGAAGAACATAAACACATCAACTGAATCGTAACCATAATATTACATTGAACTGTATAATATGTACACTTCATTAACTTGCAATAAGATGAAAAGATGTAAACTATTTAGTTCATTGGTGGTCGACAAGGAGAATATACATATTTACAGCACTTTGCATTCAAAATAGTATGTTAAAACTCGAACAGATATGCGTTTGTGAGTGATGATTAAAGAGGATTTAAGGATTAGAGAGTCACATTTTGTACCAGAGGTCTTGGTGCCATAGCAAATTGCATGTCATACCTGGTATTTTTTAGCCTTTCTAGATTGAGGACGAGGCTGGAACAACAAGTATTCAGTACATAATTTGAGGAATTGAACACTATTCCAGCAATATCACTTAGCCAAACACAATGAATATAACGAACATGAGCAAACACTTTACCTACTGGGCTAATCAGCAATCCAAAATGAATTTGAAATACAGTCGTATTCAGGTGATTATAAACAACTGACATATTTCAAATGGTATGATCATTTAATTAATAATTTTTTAAAGGGTCCATTAACAAACATATAAGCATAATACAAATTTGCAAAGACATGGGGAAATGTATGTTTGCAGTCTCTCTGACGACATGAGAATCTGACGTATGTATATATGGTAAATAGTGTCCTTAATAGTGACATATGCATGAGGTGGATGAATGGTGCATGACAGTGTTACAAAATGAACTTGATGTAAATGATAGTGAAACCGTTGATTGGCATAGGTGTATGTGATGATATGAAGTGAAATGTGGATATGATGGCAAGAATGCATATTCCATATGATAATAAATGCTCTCGCGGGCGTTCACGCATGTATCACACTGTAATATCAAAACAAGAATTGTTACATACATTATCACTTATACACATGATTGAAGACAAACATTTTGAAAATGAACTTATAAAGAAAAAGTTATGAAACCCTTGCTATTTATAGAAGAATCTGTCAAAACGAATTTACATTTAAATTGTATTTAAAATGAAATCAATATGTTTTTACGGTTTTCCGAGTCTAACTTATAATTACCAGAAAAATATATGACTGTGACTTGCATACGAAATATGTATGAACACATACAAGAGGGTCCGCTTGCATTGGGTTCAATTTTATGCCCATGGTTATTTTAATTTGACTCAGATCGATAAATGATAAAATTATACAGAAACAATAAATATTCATGGATGATAAAACTACCAACACATGTTATATATCGTTATAGGCAGGTAAGACGGCATGCAAACAATGTATTTGTAAATATTTTGGTTAATATCAACTACACCATGATACGCATCGTGCTGTTAAAACTACTGTAATAAAATAAGTACTAAAAACAAAACAAAAACCAAAGAAATATGAAAAATATACAAATAGTCTTCTATCAAAATGATATTACACGTATACACATGGATCATTTTCTGAGAAATGTTATTTGTCCTAATTTCGTAAAATGTGATTTCAAGTAGATTTTATTCTGATAAAATGAATAAAAAGCCTATCCGTTTGGTTTAAGGGATGAACAAGTTACGTTTTCGAGCCCTTCACCCTTTACAAGCGTATACACATTTATTGGCTAGTGCACACTACATTCCACGGAACACAGTTAACTGAAATATGCTGTGTGCTGTAATGCTTATAGAAACCATTGGAGAGAAGTGGTACATTCATACTTACCCTATTAGATTGAGGTGGGGTTCTTTGTGGTGTCTGAAATAACAACCGAGTTGTCAATATATATAACCGTCTCGATGATCTAACAGATTCCATTGGGTGTAAAAGACAAATTAGTAATGAGTGAGTGAGTGAATTTATTTTTACGCCGCACTCAGCAATATTCCAGCTATATGGCGGCTGTCTGTAAAAAATCGAGTCTCGACCAGACAATCCAGTGATCAACAGCATGAGCATCGATCTGCGCAATTGGGATACGATGACAAGTATCAACCAAGTCAGCGAGCTTGACCACCCGATCCCGTTAGTCGCCTCTTACTACCAGCATGGGTTACTGAAGATCAAAATTCTAACCCGGACCTTCACGGGTGCAAATTAGCAATGACAGTTATATGAATGGGTCACTGCAAATCATTGATGACACCAGGTGTTCATGAAAATTATAAGGCTGTTCTCGTTGCACCCGACCCACTACTGACATAGGAACAGTATACGCAAAATTGTTAGGATTATGGTGAATCCCACCCCGAATAACATGAAGAAACTAACTTTTCCAACCATCAAATCGAAAGTTAAATACTATGAACAATAACTCTTTATTGTTATATATTGCCCCACCAATTATACCATGTATAAATAGGTTACGTTTACTTAGAAATGTCAGTGAAGAATATATTTGACTGGTTCTTGAAAGTCCAGAAAATATCCACTCACTTTGTTGGCTTGTGGAGATCGTCGTTCTGGTGTCTGCAACAAAGCAAATGTCACTGTAACCGTACAATTATGATATGAACAAGACGGATAAAGGCTGTATTTGGTCAAGTAGAAGTGATCGGTATGAAAATGAACAAGCAAGGTGAAATGAGTGAGAGCTAGCATTTATCATTGTTATACAAATTAATTGGATGAGGCTGACTTACAGATTATATCATATTTCGTTACATGTTTGGGTCCAAACAAACAATAATTTAAGTAAAACAAGTTCACATCATATCTGTATGAACAGGGCTAAGTTTCATAATGTTTCCCTTTCAACAAAAGGCTAAGGGGTCCTATCTTATCTTGTCCTTTCCTCCAGGCCCTTAATTGACTTCATGTTGAAAACCGACGTAAAATCCAAGTCATTTACATGTATTTGCATAAGTATGTCAACATATTGTGGAATATCAAAGAGACGTTAAGGCCAGCATGAGTATAAATGTTGCATAACAGTTCGAACCCTCGACCATGACTGAGGCACCTGTTAGAAAACCCCTTCTCCTTAAATGCGTTATGTGTTGCGGGGAAAACATCGGGACTGTTTGATTCGAAGTCAGTATATGTAATGAGTTTCAATTTGGTATCCATGTTTAACTGTGGCATTGTTTTTGGTTTGTTGTTTAACGCAGTATTCAGCAATATTAATTATATGGCGACGGTCTGTAAATATTCAAGTCTGGACCAAACAATCCAGTGATCAACAGTATGAACATCGATCTACGCAACTGGGATACGGTGACATGTGTCAACCAAATCAGCGAGCCTGACCACCAGATCCCGTTAGTAGCCTCTTACGACAAGTATGGGTTGCTGAAGATTAATCATTCATCAGCATCAGATATAATTTTAACATTTTAACGACACTACCAATCACACTGAATTTTAACACTTTATGAACATATTCATTTCAATGGCTGGAAGAAGAAAAAAGTATAAATTCGTTAAAACTTACATTGTTGGAGTTGCTCGGCCTCCTGGCATTCGATGGCTGTAATTGAAAATATATTTAGTTTACATGATGTTCATTAATAATTAACTACATGTGTTTACAGCGTCCCTAGCAACCTTGCAGTTGTTAGAGCAACCGTAATGAAATATGTACACATATGTATGAACTTACTTTGTGGAAGTATACATGTACATGCACAACAGATGTACTTCCGCGTGTATCCGTGACAAGTTATCAACGATCAAGAGCCAATTCAGGATATGTTTACAAGACGAATACTGCGAGATGAGATGAGACTTTTATAGCGACGTGCCTATACTACTGTGCGTGTTTATGTTTGCTTTTGTTTGTGTGTGTGAGTGCGTGGATGTCTGTGTCCGTGTTGAAGTGATTGATTGATGGATTGATTGAGTGAGTGGGTGGGTGTTGATGGATTGAGTGATTGAGTGATTGAGTGAGTGAGTGAGTGAGTGAGTGAGCGTTCTATTCCAGTTATATATAGAGAATACTACACGAGGTCTCATTACATACGAATTATACGAAACGAGTGTCCTTCCTATGGTATCTGACCGAGCGAAAGCGAGGTCAGATAACATAGGAAGGTCACGAGTTTCGTATAATTCGTATGTAATAGAGACCGAGTATATAATCGTGGTATTTTATTTATTACTCCACGTCTTACATGCATTAAATTGACAAAATAGCGTATTTTTGTTAATATTTTGGTTTCAAACCGAAACCGGTTTCATGAAGAGGTTGTGGAAGGGTTTTGCACTGCAGTACAATATTTGCATGACGTCACTGTAATGACGTCACTGCCTTGGTAACCGACGTCACGATGCATGTCAGTTGTCATCGCCTCATACAGCCTCCTACAGTAAACTACTCCGTAGCACCCCGTTTCTTGGTTTGCAGTTGCTCCATTCGGCTAACATCACTGGTGGAAACATTGCGTTTACGTTTTTCGACGGATATAATGTCTCAGTTCGGCTCACAATTAAACAGCGACACGGCAACTTTCGCAATGTTTACATTCCCACAATGCATTTAAGTTGTAGAATGAATGGATTCACGTTTTTGTTGTGAATGAAAAAATAGTTACGTCAGAATGTGACCTACCTGAGAGGTCATCGGTTATCCAATCAAATCGTTAGAATCTCAGGTCTAGTCGTTACGACACAGGTCAACGCGATACGACACTCGTGTGACGTACGAGATTAGTATGCAACTACCCATACGTTGACCACGTGGGTAATAAAGAGCGGCATGCCATACATAGTCCAAGCGATGCGGATTTTGGACGTTTACCATTTTTGTGAACAAACCTAGCATTAGTGTAACCGAGGTTCGAACCTGCAATCAAAAGTTACGCAACTCTTCAACAACATGACCCATGAAGATCCGGGTTAGAAATGTTCTACAGTAACCCATGCTTGTAACGGGATCGAGTGGTCAGGCTGTTGACTTGATTGACACATGTCATCGTATCCCAGTTGCATAGACCGATGCTCATGCTGTTGATCTTTGGATTATCTGGTCCAGACTTGATTATTTACAGACCGTCGCCATATAGCTGGAATATTTGCATTAAACAGCAAAACAACAACCAACAACCTAAGCGACAGGTCATTCCATGAGCCCCTAGACTAAACGAAACGGAATACATACCCTTCTGGCCTGTTGTGACCTTTGGGGTGTCTGCAATGAAACAAACCAACAAAATCATCACTTTGAAATAAGCACGACCTTCAAAACCAACGTACTGACTGTGTTTAGGAATCAAGGAAGGTTCTATACCACTTTAGACACTATTTATCTCACTGAATGTAAGCCTGATGATTTATGACTCCCAAAGATATATTTCCCACCTTGGATGAATATTCGGAAACCAGTTCTTATTCTGACGGTGAATGTTGGATTTGAACGAATGATTATAAATTTCTTTTCCGAAACTTTGCACAATGATTTATCCGTGACAATAATGATGTTCGATACAATTCCCCATTTTGAAAATAGAAAATACTAAACGATGTCCCGTGTGATACCATATTTATGAAACGAGTGAATGGTTTGGTATCTAACGAGCGAACCCAACATTAGCAAAATAATATCCCAGAATTCAGCTTACCGAACAGGTGCATTACTCCGTCATAACAGGGGTCACGCGTATGAATACATTTCATATATGATTGTTAACATTAGTCTATTTAATTTGATTTTTTTAAAAATAAACAAGAGGGTATGAAAAAGGGACCAAACGACTTCAACCAACATATTATTTTTTTAACATAAACGCTGTTACACCCAACCGAGCAAAGAAAAGTTGATTATCGCGACTTTGTTTTGATCACGTTAATTTGGCATGTGACCGAGTGCAAATAGTTCCGGCAGCACGCATTTGTAGATTTATGAAACAGTGATATCTTCAACGGATGAGTAATAATGTGAAATATACCCTATGTGTTTCACAGGAATATATAATCTGTGATGGCTGCAACGGGTGGGCAACATACCCTCACCTTTTCGGGTCAACCATCATCACTATTTGTTGACAACTCATACACTCACGCTCATGAAATAGTCGCACACCAAATATGGCCTTCCTTAAAAGTATGGAATTCTCTTTTGTCGCTTTTTTAAGACATGTGGGCCAATGTTTAATGCAGTGCATGCACACACCAAAGACTACTGTTCTCGTTACTGTATTGGTGCTAACACTCTTTTATTCATTCATTCATTCATTCATTCATTCATTCATTTTCATTTATTATCACTGTTGTTATCAACATTATTTTAATTGGTGACTATATGATAATGATTCATAAAACATGCTCTGTCATCCTATCGCATGGTGTCAATCACTTGATTGTCTAAATTGTTTACTAACCACACTGTACAGCTGTACTACTGCTGAAACTATAGACAAGCATGCTATAGTCAGCACTGCTTTAAGCAGAGGTTTCTTATGGATGATAAAAGGGCTTTGTCGCGTCTATATAAATAAAAATATCCATTCGTAATATAATCTATAATAATTTTCAGTCAAAATTTGGTAAAGCTGAAATTCAATTACAAACCAATAACGATAGTAAGGGTACCCTTAGGGAAATGTGTACTGTACTGGACACGTCCAACTGATGGCAAAGGTATGCTGACAAAAACGCTGTTGTCACCTTTTATAGAAAAGCTGAAATCATCTACGTGACCTCCTGCTTATAAAATGTTGTTTCAAACAAATCATGCATGTGTTGTTATTCATAGTGAATAGGTATATTTTAATCATGGGAATACTCTTTCATCAAATATTCAGATTCCCCTTTGAAATCAAAACAATGGCTCACTCTCCTATACTTCTTCTAACTGTTGGTTGGCGACGGTGTGGGTTGTGCTTTGTCAAGGCCATCGACTGAAACTAATTGTTCTTTTTCTGACAAATACTCACATAATTGTTTTAACACTGAATTGATAGGGATATAAATGAACATTTAAACTAGATCAGTTCGGACGCACGCAACCCAAATCGACCAATTCGATGTGAAGAGTTGCGTCCCTTGAGCACGAGAAACAACCTGTGGTTGTAGGCTCGAATCCCGGTTCGTCCGTTTATTTATGTTACTGTCGGTACCATTCCTGGGTTTCAATAATAGATCAGACATCTAAGACCTTCATCAATTCGGTCTTTCCTCACATCTCACATCTGACATCAAGCAGACGATTTGTTCAAATCGGCGTCATACATAACTCACTTACTATATGAAAACATGAATGTATATCAGTCGCAATCAATCCAACTCATTCACTCAACGTAACTAGGGGTGGTGCGGTAGCCCAGTGGTTAAAGCCGCTGAAGACCCGGGTTCGATTCCTCACATGGGTATAATGTGTGAAGCCCATTTCTGGTGACCATCGGAATGATATTTCTGGAATATTGCTAAAAGCGGCGAAAACCATACTCATTCACTCAGTCAACGGAACAAGCAGGTCAATAAATGGATGTTAATATAGTGAGATTAAGTTAAAATGTCTTTTTCCAGTAATTTGTGTTCTATGAAACTACTGTACATGCATCATGTTTTTTTCTCGACTTTTGTATTCACTTGCCTACCCTTGCCTCCAGCTGTTGTCATCACATATCTCCAGTCATCCAGTTTTATTTTGACATGCCTACCCTTTCCTACCCTTGCTTCGTCCCTTCTAGTCAACTGTTGTCATCAGATAGTTCCAGTCATCTAGTTTTGTTTTCACACGCCTACCCTTGCCTCGTCCCTTCTAGTCAACTGTTGTCATCAGATGGTTCCAGTCATCTAGTTTTGTTTTCACATGCTTACCCTTGCCTACCCTTGCCTCGTCCCTTCTAGTCAACTGTTGTCATCAGATAGTTCCAGTCATCTAGTTTTGTTTTCACATGCCTACCCTTGCCTACCCTTGCCCCGTCCCTTCTAGTCAACTGTTGTCATCAGATAGTTCCAGTCATCTAGTTTTGTTTTCACATGCCTACCCTTTTGCCTACCCTTGCCTCGTCCCTTCTAGTCAACTGTTGTCATCAGATAGTTCCAGTCATCTAGTTTTGTTTTCACATGCCTACCCTTGCCTACCCTTGCCTCGTCCCTTCTAGTCAACTGTTGTCATCAGATGGTTCCAGTCATCTAGTTTTGTTTTCACATGCCTACCCTTGCCTACCCTTGCCTCGTCCCTTCTAGTCAACTGTTGTCATCAGATAGTTCCAGTCATCTAGTTTTGTTTTCACATGCCTACCCTTTCCTACCCTTGCCCCGTCCCTTCTAGTCAACTGTTGTCATCAGATAGTTCCAGTCATCTAGTTTTGTTTTCACATGCCTACCCTTTCCTACCCTTGCCTCGTCCCTTCTAGTCAACTGTTGTCATCAGATAGTTCCAGTCATCTAGTTTTGTTTTCACATGCCTACCCTTGCCTACCCTTGCCCCGTCCCTTCTAGTCAACTGTTGTCATCAGATAGTTCCAGTCATCTAGTTTTGTTTTCACACGCCTACCCTTGCCTCGTCCCTTCTAGTCAACTGTTGTCATCGGATAGTTCCAGTCATCTAGTTTTGTTTTCACATGCCTACCCTTTCCTACCCTTGCCCCGTCCCTTCTAGTCAACTGTTGTCATCAGATAGTTCCAGTCATCTAGTTTTGTCTTCACATGCCTACCCTTGCCTACCCTTGCCTCGTCCCTTCTAGTCAACTGTTGTCATCAGATAGTTCCAGTCATCCAATTTTCACTGGTTTGTCTTTAAGCTCAATGGAAACTGTTTCTGTCACGTGGACGTTCTATATCTATTTGCATGTGTACGTGACGATGACACTGGCTCATCATGATACGCGAAACCTTATTATGAACACCCAGGGTCATTGCTAATTGATACGGATTCATGAACCCATGCTTATGATCCAGTCGGAATCCAACGGAGTGAGTGAGTGAGTTTAGTTTTACGCCGCACTCAGCAATATTCCAGCCATATGGCGGCGGAATTCAACGGAATGACGACATGATGCATTGAGCAGTGGTTTCTCATGATAATGGGAATGGTTTTTGTTGTATATTACGTAGGGTGTCATGTGAACATTTCGTCAATTCTCAGCTGAAGGTGATACTTACATTCCTATATATTGCAAATCAGTCTCAAGTGCATGCAAAACTTTGTCCAGGCACGTTAACGTTATAGAACTATTTTCTCTTCTGTCGTTCTTGGGTGCAACATGTGTTCACACATTACTCCTGTAAATTGCCTTCAGTGTTTAATTTCAGGAATATTAATGACATGATTATGGTACTAAATCTGCCTTTGTTCAGCCTTTAGCTGAGGATTGTACAAAGGATTCTTGATGATGTAAACTCTTCCAATTCAAGTATTATATCAAATTTGTTGACATAAGATATAGTCGAGTAACATGTTGATATGATACATAGTTGTATTATAATACAACTCAACAAATGCAAGCAATTAAAGTGTTACGGTGATAATTAATCATGTTCAAATAACATATACAGAATAAACATAGTTTACTCCTAATCCACAGAAACAGTTAAAATTATGTGAAGAGTGAGTGAGTGAGCAACAGGTGTGAAGATCGAACTACTGGGCTGCCCCACACCACATTGTGCCCTTGTGAGCAGACAAATTTAAATATAGGGTTTAATAATCGATCTCGTACTATTAATCGTTTTCGGTTCAACGTCGTATAAGTATATTTGATACGGTCTATGAACAAGGTTATGGTGATAGGTATCTTTAAGTGAACATCCTCGAAACCGATGAATCGGGGGTACAATTAGTCTGTCATACAGACCTATAAATATACCCAATACAGTCCACCCAAATCCAGAATATGTGTCATGTCCAGGCTCCTTTGTATTGTATTGATTTTGAATTTAATTTATTACCGGGTTTTTTTCTGTGAAAAATGTTCATCCCAGAACCTAGATATTAGTCGAGGGTAAAATTTCCGATTTGTATGAAACAAATATAACCAAGACATTTCATAAGATGAATACACAGAGGATCACAACAGTTCCAATAAATCCAATCAAAAAGAAATGCAATATGTATCGAGATCAATATGTTTGATTGAATGCGAAACACTGGGACTTCAGAGCAGGAATATCGAATGAAATACATTACCTCGCCCCCTGATGGCTGAGGAGATGTTTCGGGAGTCTGAAATAGAAAATATAACATTTTATAATGTATGACACAGCTGTTTTATCTCATGCAAGTTATTGTAATATACGCCAGTGCTTTTTTCCGGATTGAAACTAATCCCGCACAACCAGTATGCTCGAAGTGGCTTAATGGGTCGGGTGTCAATGAGATGCCAGCGCTATGATGATCATAACTCAGATGTGACATGGACCTAAGGGGACTTTGTGAAACAGGTCCCTGGTGTATAACAATTTATTCTGAAAAGTATCAGCTGATGATCGACATGACTGACAGGGTAATTATTGATTAGAAATGTTCTTGAATTTATGAGAAGCTGAAGAAAAGATTGAAGATCATGTTCACTCAGCTATATGAACTCGTTAAATGAATTTCAACATTATCTCCATGTTGTTATTATACCTTATAATGCAATGAGTGCATATACCATATCGACAGGTATCGTAGTATCCATCACAAGAATAAAAGGATGAGTACATGACAGAGCATGTCCAAACACTCATGAAATTGTTTGTTATAGTATTCATGAATCTATTTTTGAGACAAAGATGGAGAATAACATCTGTCCATGGGAAAAACATCAAACAAAGGTAGAATGGCAAATAGCAAGTTTCTTTCTGAACGTGAAAAGCTTAATGGTTTGAGACGTTTGTCTACCTTGCATCTTGTATTTACGTCCTAACAGTGGAAAATAGAAACATATTGACAGATTCCGGTAGCTCGATGAAAACCTGTGATGGCGGAGGCAGGATCCAGTCGATAGTTGGATAAAAGGCCCTGTGGAACTGTCGATATTGCCATAGTTATTGGAAAATATTTTGATATTGTAAATTTGGGATGAAACGATCATCTTATTGACATATTACCTGAGTGGAATAGGTGCGAAGAACTGTATGTAGATCCTAAGACAACGGTACCTATATTTGTGTTTAATCAGTTTAAGGTAAACACTTGTTTTCGAAGCAAAATGCACGATAATTGATTTTCCTTTCGTGTGATCTATCTGAAGGTAGTAATTAAATGCTCATGTCATGTCATGTGGCAATATGGATCATTGTGTCAGGTGTGCTGTAGAAAAGGAACTCAATCCATATCATCGTGCATAGAGACTGCAACACGAATATGTACGATAAGGTGTTGATAATCTCGATTCGCGAGAGTAAAGCAATATGGCTTAATGTTTGTTTTCTGTTATCATACATTAGCATCAGAACTGACGTTCCTTTAAGCATCTCATACTATTACACTGTGTTCATTCTCAACGTTTGAGGGGCGGTGGGTTAGCCTAGTGGTTAAAGCGTTCGCTCGTCACGCCGAAGACCCGGGTTCGATTCCCCACATGGGTACAATGTGTGAAGCCCATTCCTGGTGTCCCCGGCCGTGATATTGCTGGAATATTGCTAAAAAGCGTCGTAAAACCATACTCACTCACTCAACGTTTGATGGGAACATATTATTTACCCCATTGCATAGCTAGAATATTGCTGAGTGTGAACAGCAAACAAAATTTAACTAGACCAAGTTTTATACTAATTATTTAAAGCGTGTAACTTTATCCATAAATAGTACTATATCAAGCCATCTTATTAAAAGTTGAATGTTATAGAAATATGCCATCTCACGGTGTGCTGTATTTAAACTATTGTCATGAACTGCATTACCCTATTGATATAACTAGTTCAGTTATGAACAAAGGGGTTCTGCATTAAACTAGACAATTCAAGGTACAATGGTTACACACTCTCGTACTCGTTAACCTGGGGCAAATGATATGCCTCTATGGAATATTAATCAACGCACTTATACTCTTGAGGCATCTGCAACTGGGACTGAACCTGAATCAATCACATAACAATGATCCGGTATGACACGGTATGACACGGTATGACTGTAAGATGAGGACGTTTTGTTCGAAAGTGGGTTGAGATCTCATCTATGACTGTACAAATGAAACCAAGTTCGGTATTGACCTACCTACGTACAGTATGGTGTATAACAGCGTTCATTCACTAACTCATGTATAGGTATATTAGACATTCGTTGACCAATGAGATATCGATGTACAATGGTATTGTGTATAGCATTGTATTCTGTATATGTTATGAAGTAAAAACACAGATACCTTTTAGCCACGGTGGTCCATAGTTCATGGATTTCCAGTGAAACAGACCGACTGCCCCCAGCAAAACGTGTATGGACAAAATAGCCATATAGAGTTTTCAATCATTGTTTGCATACTCGGTTTCAAGAACTAACACGCCTCAGTGATTTACAGTGATTATAGTCGAACGTTACAAAGCAGTGTTCGGTTAACATAAAAGCGATTATTTGTAAAGGTATTCTATAATGCAGGTTTCTGAATAGAGTTCTATGTTGCTGCTGGTCCCAAGGCTAAATAGAAATATGATTTCATTATTGGCATGACATTGATATCTGGATCGAGCATACAGTTAACACCATAACATCTAACCGGGTCATATTACAATAACATGAAACGTGACAGAAATTGTTATAGGATTTTTGGGCCTTCATAACGCAAGTAACTGAGAACAATGCTGTAACGAGATCTTTTGTTTAGATTATAGCTATCCATTTATATTTTAATGCACGACATGCTTACCTTTTTAAAGAACACCCGGTGTCATCATTGATTTTCAGTGATACTTTCAGACAATTTTCATCACTATTTTGCGTTTTAAGCAAACTGGTATCTATTTTGAAAAATGTTTGAGATTGATCATTTTTCCAGCCGTTGGTGTTTTATACGTATTTGCTCTGCCTACTTTTAAAATGTGTCTGGTTATGAAGCTTCGAAACCCGATGATAAAAATATTTAACTATATTAGTATTTTCAGATACTGACGTCCATCTGTATAGTATGCAATTCTAAGTGTGTTTGATCCCAGCTAGTTCTTTGAAAGTTTGGGGCGGTGGGATAAAGCATTCGCCTAGTGGTTAAAGCGTTTAGCTCTGAGTCACGCCGAATACCCTAGGGTCCTCCTGAATCCCCACATTTAGGGTACAATGTGTGGTTCAGGACTGTGAGACAGACTAGGGTACAATCTGTGAAGCCCATTTCTGGTGTCCCCCGCCGTGATATTGCTGGAACATTGCTAAAAGCGGCGTGAAACCAAACTCAGTCAGTCAGTCAGTCTTTGAAAGTTTGATATACGTCGTTCACAATCACCATCAGCAGATTTCTTAGTAAGTGTATCAGTCTACATTTGGCACTTCTTGTAACAATAAGATCTAGATTTGGAAAGGGAACATAAGCAATCTATATACATTTGTTATGTGTATAATAGGTATGTCTGACTGTGACAGCGACATAAACATTGTAGATGTACATTGTCGACATGTGCTCTTTTCAATCAGAAACCTACGTTTCACAATCCGAGTCTAATTTGATATACAGATGTAAATGCTCGTAGTAGATGTAAGCGATAAGGTGTACAAAGACCTAAAGTTATGGTCATTCAAGTAGGTCTTTAAAATATTAGGAATGATAATGCAAGGTTCATACATATCACGCTGATGGGGAAATATGTAGAGCAAGTTTTTAATTTCAGACAAAGTGATCCACTTGGTCGCTTAGTACATGGTTATATACACAGGACATATGTTTTACATATAAAAGTTCTTTATTAGCAAGCATTGTAACTGACTCTAGAAGGCGACATTGAGGTAATATCGTTGAATTCATTGACAGATCAAGTGACAGGACCACAATGTAAACCTATGAAATCAGTTAATACAAATACACGTATATCTTTATTACTGTTTCAACTGCGACTTATAGCAATTGCATCTCATAAGAATACTAACAGAAATTTCTTATTGGCATTCTTTACAAACCAGATATTTTAATCTTATATACAGGATGGTTGCAGCTCTTTACACCCGAGCAGCAAACTTATATTTCACATTCACCCAGCCATCAATCCATTAAGGCGCATATATCATCATCAGGCTGAGGTCCCACACATAATGTCTTCTTAAACGGAATACATAAAACCTAAAGGACCCAGACAACAACCCTGACTTACCCCTTTATCTCTAAACGCCATAATTCGTTGATACAGACTATCGTCTCGTTGTGCAGGGGGCTTCTTTCCTGGCGAACCCATGTTCTTTTGGCGAAGTCGCTTGTGGATGAGACGCCTGGCAGCTCGATAGTCCGGGCCGTAGATTCTGTCGAACACCACAGACAGACGGTCGATAGCGTTGTGTTGACTGCTGTCACCACCGCTGCTTTCTATTGGAGAAGAGAATGATGCTGGTATTATTCTTTTAGAAACGGTATGTTAGCAGTTTGCAAATCTTTGTGGATTATATGAATAATGACTGTAGGATAGATCACTGGAATATTGATTGAAAAGACCTTTACTAAGCCTATATGAAAATGAAAACGTCTGGCACATATTTCGCAAATTTGTGGAGAGATGTTGGACTTTTTTAGAATTGTTTTTTTTATATTGGCATTAATATTTACTTTCTGGTTCGGTCGGGTAGCCAAGTAGACGTTCGCTCGTCACGCCGAAGACACGGGTTCGATTCCCCACATGGGTACAATGTGTAATGCCCATGTTTGGTGTTCCCAGCCGCAATATTGTTGGAATTTTGCTAAAAGCGGCGTAAAATTAACTCACTCACTCACTCCTGGCTTTGAAGTTTCTGTCCGGTGACCGAGAAACATTTTCTTCAGCTTATAAAGTGTCCATTATGAAGGTCATTATCAAATACATGAATAACACAAATATTCACTAGCAGTAATTTCGTGCATTTCAGTGAGCACAAAGTATGAACAAATATAGTTGTATTCAGGGTTGTCTAATGTAAGAAACATCATCCAAGATAAATCGATATGATAAATGACCACACAGAACGGGATAAATTATTAATTCCTACAGCATATGTATTCTATGCATGACTCCTAATGCCATGCATCAGTTCAGGTAGCAATTCATCAAATATACATGTAGGGTTATCTGTCATAAGGATCATGATCAATCAAGAAATCAATATGATCGTTCATATTTGACGATGTTGATACTTATGCATTCGACACTCTTTCGCCTCCCCTGCAACTACTTTCACAATGGCATCCTGCTTAAGTGGGAATTTAATCTCGTGTGAACATCTGGAGATGTTATCACGAGTAATTAATGGAAATTGCTCAACAATAATAAGTACCATGGTCCTCTCGGGATTCAAGCAGACTGTATCTGTAGTAATTGTACGTGGGAACAAAACAAGTACCCTGTGTTAAGAGGTGAGATATTTCGTGGTTTGGTATTTGGTTTGTTTTTTGTTTTACGCCGCACTCAGAAATATTCCAGCTATATGGCGGCGGTCTGTAAATAATCAATCCTGGGCCAGACAATCCAGACAATCCAGTGATCAACAGTATGAGCCTGACCACCCGATCCCGTTAGTCACCTCTTACGACAAGCATGGGTTACTGAAGATCAATTCTAACCCGGATCTTCACGGGTATTCATTGTTTGGTTATCTGATCCTGAGTATTCATGAATTTGCAGGTGGATCTGATATAGAGTGTATTAATGTTTTTGTTGCTTAACGCCACCCTTAGCAATATGTCAGATCATATGACGGAAGTAGGAATGTATTCGAGAAAATAATTGGATTACACCTCATCAGTAATTGAACATGGAGAGTACGGCAATCATTCAAAACAGTCGGAAAGATTAATCTCAGACACAGACCGATTGAAACTCACTCACTCCCTCACTATTACTCCACGATGGTTTACATATAGACACAAATTTCTCATTATCCAACCTCGTAGGGGTGACGGGTAGTGTTTGCTCGTCACGTCGAACCCGTGTTCGATTTCCAGTATAGGTACAGAGAAGCCCGTGTCTCTAGGTTCCCAGCAGTGACATTCCTAGAACAACGGTGTAAAACTACACTCACTCATTCCACCCAGTATGCTCATGAGGTGTTTCCTGCACACTTGCAGAACCAATAACCTATAAATGTGAGTGAGTGAGTTTGATTTTACGCCGCATTTAGCAATATTCCATCAATATCACGGCGAGGGACACCAAAAATTGGCTTCAGACAATGCACCTATGTAGGGAATCGCACCCGCGTCTTCGGCGTGATGAGCGAACGCATTACCCAATTGGCTACCCAACCCCCTCAAAATGTAAGGACTAAAGAATGATATTGATATAAAGTGATTCACCTAAGGAACGGGTATATGTATAGTTATACAAATTGTATATATTTCCATATTTCCCTACAGATAATTCGGAATGTCATAATCAATCGCTAATCACGACCGAAACAAATTCCATGGGGCGAAAAGTGTAAAATATTAATGTAAATGAAATCAACGGATCACTGAGAATCTGCCAGGGCACGAGTCCTGTTCTACCGGAAGCACACACCATCAACACAATTTTAACAGAGTGAGTGTGAGTTACGTGGCGTGAAAACTCATGCAAACGTCATAACATCGGTAGCATCGCTGACGTTGACATGTAACGTGTCATAATCTTTAAATACTTCTGAATAATCACCATGTAGTTTCTTAAATGACGTGACCATTGCTTTACTGATGGAACATTCCCTCAAACTCGTATTCGAAAGAGATTCGTGTCTTTCTGTGATATTTGATAAAAGCATGTGCATGCTGTGCATTACCTATTAAATATGCAATTGAAGGATGTAGACGCCATAAAGAGGAGCCGGCGATTTATTGCCCTGAGTCAGCAAGAACGAATGACATACACTCCCAAAGAACGTCATCCTGTTCCACGAGGTACATCACACCATCATGTTGACACCCCTCACATCACTATGTAAAGTTACTGATCTGAAACCCATTTATTATTAAAAAAATAAATTTAGTGGCATGTTGGAGAAGCCTGTGAGCCGCGAGATATTCAGAAAATCGACAATCGATTGCTTTGTTGTATTTATTTACAGGTTGTCATGCTGCTCCGATCTTGGGAACGTCCACTCAGCAACGTGTAAAGTGAGGCGGTAACTCTCGATCGGTGGGCCTTTGTCTTCTGTTGGTAACGGAAACAGACGCATCTATATGTCTTGTGTTCTGTGACACAATTGTGGGTTTACGGTGTTGACGATAGCTCTTTTATTTACACTCAAAAGAGTTTGATGCAAGATCCTTTTATTGATGAAGATTCTGGCCCCGCATCGAATCTTCAAAAGACGCGCTGAACAATACAAGGTTTAGCTATTCTAAAAATATGATATTTTGCAGGTTATAATGCAGTTTTTTCTCATTCAGAACAACGGGTAGGGCATGTATTACATGTAGACACGATTACACCAACGACATCTTGACGGTATTCACCATGTGGTAATTTAATCGTGATAACACTAAGGACTGATTGGCTATATTCACCATCTGATAGTTTAAACGTGATAACACTACCGATACATGGGCTTTATCCACCATCTGTTGAAGGGAAAAAATGTCCATTGAAAGGAATCAAAGAATCTGTCCATTATGCAAAGAAGTAGTAGAAAACGAAATTCACCTCACTTTCATCTGTAAATCATTTGCTGTCATTAGAAATAAATATATACCAGAGTATTATCTGTCAAAAAAACCCGACGTAGCTTTTAAATCACTATTATGTTCTTGCAATGAACAAAATATCAGAAATCATTCATTCTTTATAAAACACTTCAGTAGGTTAAGAGATGAATTGCTGAAAAATTAGTTACAATTGACTTGTGAAAATACTTAATGCATAACTCTGTAAACTGTATGTGGGCCGGAGGCCTTGAATACAATAATATTCTTGTCTTGTCTTGTCTTGATAGTTTAAACGTTATAACAATAACGACACATTGGATTTATCCACCATCTGATATTTTTAACCGTGATAACACTAATGTCGTATTGGCTATATTAACCATCTGACCATTTAAACGTGATAACACTAACGACACATTGGATTTATCCACCATCTGATATTTTTAACCGTGATAACACTAATGTCGTATTGGCTATATTAACCATCTGACAATTTAAACGTGATAACACTAACGACACATTGGATTTATCCACTATCTGATATTTTTAACCGTGATAACACTAATGTCGCATTGGCTATATTAACCATCTGACAATTTAAACGTGATAACACTAACGACACATTGGATTTATCCACCATCTGACAATTTGAACGTGATAACATTAGTACTAACGTAATTAGCTACATTGACCATCGAGTCAGTCAAACATGATAAGACTTACTACACCTTGGGTTATTCATATCTTGTCCCTCAGCCATAATCAAATAAGGACACCTTTGTTGTTTTTATATCTGGCCCCTCAGTCATAATCACACAAACATTTAGTCGCTATGTAGACAATCAAAAAAGATACCACTTAAGATACAACGGCAACAGAAATCATAATATTCAAATCTCTGCCCCAAGTATACTGAATGTGCCTGCCTGGACTTCTGAGATGAAACCCCACTCAGATAGAGTAAATGACTCCGAACCGAACTAGGCACCCCCATTAGCGTCTGTTGGTATGACGCGGCCACGGGATCGACCACATGGTCTCGGGACAGACGCTCTATCCACTCCACTCTGAAGCGGCCGCGGGTCTACATAAACAACATAGTGTGTCTTCCTGTATAGCATATCGACCTGTTGACGTTCCACCTCATCGCCATTACACGACATTGTAATTACAAGTCTGTTCTTTGTGAACTGTTGAAAATGGACGCAGTGCTGATAAATCTCTGTTGATGGCCTACTCGTTCAGGTTGTGTTATCGTAAATTCCCAGTAACTGTAGCCTAATGAATAATCTCCACGCGATAGGAATACTATTATTGAATGGTCGAGTCGCCTTGGCTACAGTACCTGAGACTTCATTTTAAGCACGTCCATTTCTGATGGAATGTATGCTGCGATCCTATTGGTTGAACGTGGTACTTGATTTTGTGTATGAATACTTGAAACATATTGGTTATCTGCAAACCTATCCTAAGTATTGACTGTGATCCAAAACGCAAATATCATACATTATTGTGTGAGGAGAGAGTGAGAGATAGACTAAAGAGATAGACTTAGTCTCTGAATATATAATTTTGACGGTAACAAATAAATCCATTTAAATTTAAAAGGAGCCCCAGTGAGTTGGGAGATTCCTGGGGAAATCCTGAACCTGGGGAAATCTGGACTTACTTCATTAAGGGCTTTAGCACTGCAGGGAGGGCTAGGCTGTAGGTAAAAT